ATCCCAAAGTTCTTTAGCAAATTGGAATAGAAATATCAAAAAATTTATGTGCAAAGTACCCAGTTTTTCATGTCTTATATATGCATTCAAATTTTCTATCTGCATTGAATTGAACTGTCTCATGTTGCCTAAGTAAACGAGGCAATTTCTTTCGAACTTCCTATCTTCCATTTGTTTTTTCAAAGTACCCATATTTTTACATATATGCTATAATAAAATGATAATTTATAGTGAACTAATTGATCTTAAAATGAAAATTTATAGTGAATTAATTAATCCCTTGAATATATAGTCTTCTAATTTAGATTAAGCTGACATTATAAAAAATATTTATCTTAAAGACACTTATTGTTTCATGGTAGTCCTTGCTACGAAGCTTGGTAATTAAGAATAGTGTCTCTTCACTGTGTGTACGTAATTTCCGTGTCTCTAACAAAAGGCCTTTGACTAGATTCAACTATAGAACAGTACTAAAGACTTTCATGGGTCATTTCACGATAACACAACGTATTAAAAATGTTCTTGTATTGGCTTTAGTTTTGCTCGCTTTCTATTTAGCTTTAAATTGTTAAAAAATGACCATTAATGCGTTCAGACATTATTTAAGTCAGTCATTGCCAGCAATGGTCGGTCATAAATCCGCTCATTATAAAAAGACCTTGACTACTTAAATGTGAAATTAATATAATATATAAGCTTAAACCAATCCCAGTTTTATTTTGGTTTTCCTAAGGGGTCCTCCACTTTTACCGTGTCTAATGCGTAAGTGATAGATTCCATAGTGAAATTTATGTCACTAAACTCATCCAATCCAAGTTATTTTGTTTTTTAAAAGGGGTCCTCCACTATACCGTGTCTGATGCTTTTGTGAGATTATAAAATGATGATTCTGTGAACGCAAACAACTCAAAAACTAAGAGAATATATATATTTTTTTATCAGTGTCAGAAAAAATAATGGAGCTCAAAATACTACAATTGCTACTGTTTCTGAGCATGAAACAATTGGTTTCTGCTGAAATTAGGTGTATTGAGAGTGAGAGACAAGCTCTAATCAAGTTTTCAGGTAATCTTAGTGGGTTAACGTGGGGAAGTGAAGAAGATAAAGGGGAATGTTGCGATTGGGATGGCGTGTTTTGCACCGACACTGGTCATGTATTCTCTCTCGATATATCTGGTATGTATTTAAGAGGTAAGATAAGTCCAGCATTGCGAGAGTTGCAGCACTTGAAACATTTGTCCCTCGCAAACACTAATTTAACAATTGATAACCTTAATTGGCTTTCTGATATTTCTTCGTTATCTTATCTCGACTTGAGTGGTGTTAACCTCAGAGTTGTAACCAACTGGTTACAGCCAATAGCAAAGCTATCTTCGCTTGCGGAATTGTACATGTCAGGCTGTCAACTCCGCGACCCCATGTCTGCATTTGATGTCTTTGCAAATTCTTCTTTGTCTAACCTTTCAACTCTTGATCTATCCCACAATGATTTCACTTCCTTTGACTCATTGTTTAACTTCAGTAGAGTTCATACTGTCCTCGACCTCCTTATAATCAGCTAGACGGTCCTATTCCAGGTACTTTTTTGAAATTGCATTTTCTTGATATATCATTCAATAAACTAAATGTACCATTTCGTCATTTATTTGAAAACCTATCACAGATAATATCACTAGAGTATCTAGATTTGTCAAACAATCAAATTGTTGGTTCCTTGCCAGATATCACCAGACTTTCATCCTTAGAAGAGTTGGACCTTAGTAACAATCAATTGGTTGGGGTACAACCACAAAGCCTTGATCAACCTTCAAGACTTGAAAGTTTAGACTTATCTTACAATCAAATTTCAGGATCACTGTTGGACTTCGAAGGATTTTCGTCATTGTACCTATTAGATCTCTCCGGAAATCAATTGAAAAAGGTACCCAAAGCTATTGGACAACTTTTCAATCTCAAAATCTTAAATCTCTCTTTAACTTCGTTGGAAGGTACGATCACTGAACATCACCTTTCAAACCTTACCCAACTAAGACGCCTTGATTTATCTTTTAACAATGTGTCTTTCAACTTGAGGTTTGATTGGATTCCAACCTTCCAATTGGAAGAAATAAACCTCAATCATTGTAATATGGGGCCTTATTTTCCAAATTGGATTCAAAAACTGAAATCTCTTTTTATGCTCTCTCTCTCTTTTGCTGGTATATCCGACACATTACCTAATTGGCTATGGAATATGTCTTCCATACAATATTTAGATCTCTCTCATAATAATATTAGTGGTCGGATGCCCCATTTGCCCTCAAGGTTGAAATTTTACGATTCTCTGGATTTAAGTTATAATAGTCTTTCGGGTCCAATTCCATTATCAGTTTTTCAATGCTCAAGAGAATTGATACTCTCCAAAAACCTGTTGTCGGGATCCATTTTCGACATATGCACAATTTCTGAGGACTTCCAAATCGGAAACCTTATTCTCTCGAATAACCAATTAGACGGTGAGCTTCCTGATTGCTGGATGAAGTTACCTGGCCTGGGAGTTCTCAATTTGGCAAATAATAGGTTTATAGGTAAACTTCCTCCCACTTTAGGCACATTGAAGTCGCTTACGATATTGCATTTGGGCAACAATAATTTCACTGGTGAATTGCCTTCCTCTTTGAAGAATTGCACAATGTTGAGAAAGTTTGATGTGGGAGGAAACAGGTTAACAGGAACAATTCCAGCATGGATTGGAACACACCTAACAAGTTTGGCAGTTCTTAGCCTTCGATTTAATAATTTTCATGGATCCATTCCTCCAACAATTTGCTACCTCACAGATATTCTCGTGTTGGACCTTTCTACAAACAACATTTTGGGAGAAATTCCACATTGCATAAACAATTTTACTTCTTTGGTTCAGCAAGATGGTTCAACTATTCACAAACTGTCGAATTACAGGGAACCAACAGATGAAGATGACAATGCTTTGGTTCTATGGAAAGGACAAGAATCAGAGTATAAAAGACTAAGAAATTTGAAAGGCATTGATCTTTCTAGCAATAAGTTAGTTGGAACTATTCCTCAAGCATTTTCTGATTTGAGAGGTTTAGTTTTCATCAACTTATCAAGAAACCATTTAACAGGGAATATCATTTCAAGCATTGGTCAATTGAAGACATTGGAATGGCTTGACCTATCTAGGAACCAACTTTCTGGGGAGATTCCGAATGGCCTTGCAAATTTACATTTTCTGAGTGTTTTGGACTTATCATACAATAATTTGACGGGGAAGATTCCACTAAGCACTCAACTACAAAGCTTTGACTCATCTACGTACACTGGAAACAACCAACTCTGTGGGGATCCATTGGCGAAGTGTCCTCATGACCCTTCTACGATTGATCATGGCAAGGTAAACGTTGTTGAAGAAGA